TTTGCCTTACGGGCTCACAACGACGACGGCTAATAAGCCAGAAATGGTCATTCCAGTCTCACTTGCCTTTGTCGGTAATGATATTCCGCCTATATCATGCGCCGCTGTGCGGCTGCTGGTTGGGTTCGAGAGAGAACCCATAAGGCACAACGGAAGGAGTGAGTTCCGTAAGAACGATCGGTGAGCGCCCACCTACCATTATATATTTCCAATCGAAACCGACAGGGCAACGGGCTCGTGGCCCAGTGGTTAGAGGCGTGGACTTCTAACTAACTGGTCGCGAGTTCGAGCCTCGGGTGTTGCACACCTCAGGGTTGGGTATGACTGGCTGACGACGACTAAGAAGCCAGAAATGGCCATTCCGGTCTCCCTCGTCTTTGTCGGTAATACCATTCTGCCTAATTCAGGCTTAGTCTGATATGACCCCTTCGCAGTCAATCATCTTAGTGAGACAAAAGGAGTATTTAGTGGAACTACACCATCAAACTGGCCAATGGACAAGGTGGGTCCCTCTAATTCAGCCCTCCCCCTCCTACCACACAAATCTCACACGAAATCACGCCAAAATACTCCGACAGTATTAGACGTGTGAGTGACAAAACTGCTGGCATACACCTTGAGTGCGAGAGAGGCCCCAACATCCAGATCTCCAATAACTGAGATGGACATCAGGAAGTTGCACTCATCCGTTCGCCCATGACCTTGAGATGCATCATCTAGACGAATCGCCCAGATGTGGTTATGTAGTCCCACCTGAAGCAAATAAACCCCAACCACCTGTAATACGGGACCGGTGATAATAGGGGCTTTTACAGGTGGGGACGGGGAACGCACAGGGGACGGGATCAAATAGTTGTATGCATAAGAATAGCTATTGGGAATGCGCGGTTGTACTTTGTGTGGTTGAGAAATAGTTGCCATAACCCTCTCAGAAGGGGCTGCATAGCCACATCTTACCGAATCTTCCGCCGGCGGGTGAATTTGTGCTTCGTTGAGTACAGTCTTCGCTTTCAAATATTCCCAGATATTTTCGTCTGCTTTACAAGAAACCCGATTGCAATGCAGCATTCCACTCTATAGACGGTGCTATCCAATTCCCATCAGGAAGTGTTTATATACGATCGCGGGCAATAGTCCAGTACTACTCCGACTCGCGTAGTTCACAGTGTTTATGACCCCGAGGGCGTGGGCTGACCGTTTGTGTTGATGGTGATCGATTGATCGTTGACTACCGCAGCGTGCCGTGCTCTTGCTTCAGTTAATTTTATCCGATGTCTGTATTGGAAAACTGCAGTTCTTTTGACTCCATGCATTGCTTTCCTTCTGAATTCTCTGCTTCTGTTTCCGTCTAACTGCCTTCGATTAAGACCCTTACCTCGGAGCTGCTTGCGGAGGTGATAACCACTTGAAAAAACGAGAGCACTACTATACTTTTGCTTAATCAATGCCGGTACTTTACAGATTTTAAAGCTACATGGACCATACTCCGTTGAAAGGTGCTATATTTGTCGAATATAAGTCCTTCTGCTTATTTGTGCTTAAAAAATCTCTTAGACGAGGACATTACTTGATAGCGCTACACAGCGACACCACCGTCGATGGATGTCATACCTGATGCATGTCAAATCCACCAGAACACCGACCGATAGCTTTACTTCCGAAAGCGGCTGTTTCGAGGTAGGGATGTTTTCAGCCTGACATATGCCTGGGGTTTGCATCCAATCAGTTGCAAATTCTCAGCTCTTAGTAATATAGCAAATGGACGTCTCCATTATTTAGAATGTTCTCCACCCACTCAAATGAGTAGTAGAGGAGAATATATTTCATACATGTTCAGTAACACTCTTATAGTAGAGCACGTTGGTAGATGTAATCAGATGAAGCAGGATGGTAGGGTCGTTCTACGAAGTGCACGCGAGACATGCATATCAAGCCTATGCACCGTGTCGTTGATCCAGAATGGCAGGCGCTGGGCGAGTTCTTTGTAGGCATCTAAAACTAATTTTCCGAGGGAATTAAGCGTAATTGCGGAGAGAGCAATAGCCGTTTTGCCTTCGACGTATGGATTTCCGTTTAACAACTCAAACTTTGCATAGGCAGTTAGGTTCGTGATTGTAGTGTTCGTGGATACACTTAGGAACAATGGATCCTTGTCTTCTCGGTAAAGTGCCCACTAAAACGAGAATAAGTCGGGATAGTAAACTGCTTATCAATTTCAAAAGGGCAAAACAGGCACCCGGACATTCCCGCAGCTTACAATGTCCTACGTCATCACAATCGTAGAGCTCAGGACCAAACGACCACACCGGGCTTAAGAAGGCCATAAGGAAACAGCTCGACGGCGAGTTTACTCGGTGGGGAAGACAAACAGCCGCCAGACCGACCAACCGACAACGGGTCGATCACCTCCCTCCGTCGGAGTGATGACTCACAAAGCACGCGGACAAAACGCCCGCCAGCCATCCCCCGAGGGACCGAGGCAGCGAGAGGAGAGAAAAATCGATCAGCATGAGGCCGACCAACGTGACGTGCCACTAGGGTTTTCTCGTCGGTGAAGTGCATTTTACGCTTTGATAGTGGAGAGCCAGCCAAGTTCTCCGAAACGTCAGCATCTAAATAAACCCGCTCTAATGACCCCGTCTTTTCTTCAAATCAGCAACCTGGCTCTCTCTCAACCTTAACAATCTGGGCAAAGCCGCGACACAAATACTTGACAATTTACCACAACGATGGCGTTTACAGATATTGGGTTAAAGCCCACCTCTCGCCGCCTTCCGTCACCTCTTGTTTCTATGCTGTCTTAGTCCTTCAAAACACGGCATTTTTTGGCTCCGTCCGAAAAGTTATAAATGAATATTCGGATTAAAATCAGTCACCCACTGTGAAATAACCGCGTAGTATTCATAGGCCGCCAACATCAGTCAGTAGTATAAATGCTCTCTCAAAAAAAGTTGTTTTGCCTTATGTGCCAGTACTTTAGGTAAATGGCAAAAAGCGATTTCCTTACGGCAATTCAATGACCAAATTACATCTTATGCACTCATGGGATAAGCATTATTAGAACATAAGTATCATAGAATGCGTTCGGTCAAGAGTAGATACCTTATAAGTAATTTTGCAATTGACGTTAGGCAACACAGCATCGCAGGTAAATTTCTTATTGTCTCCTGGGGAATATTCGTTGATTGCCGAACAATTAGAAATAAAGGCTTCATTTTGAGCATCAATTGTTATGTATTTCGACCGCTTTGATGACTTCATGGCGTTAATTTTCAACTTCGACATTTGCTGCAATAGTAGAAGGGCGGTGTCCTCCATATAAACCTTGCTGTTTTCACGAGGGCATGTCAAATCTGAAATGGGCAAATAGCCTACGTTTGACATTTACCAGTCAGTCAGTTCTAAAAGAAACTGTACTTTGATGTAAGAATAACCTTATGCACTTATATTCTCTTATCACTCAAGAATCAAAATTTACAAAATGGTGCTCCCCGTTTCATATTGTGACTAATCAGGCACTTGTTAGTGGCGTTTGCTGTTGGTTTTCGAGTCCTTTAGGCCATGCAAACAACAAGTCAGATAAATATAAAAAGAGGCAATCAGGATCGCAGGCCGTTTATCGTTCACATTCTCTCTGAAGAGTCTGGTTGCACGGCTACCGCCAGAAGTAGAGACCGTAGGCTGTGGCAGTATGTAAGAGGTCCTGTGCGGCAAAAAGTCACTTTACATAGCACATTCATCCTAACCATTATTGTCTGGTTGCCCTACGGCACCTGCTGACTTAAAGATGATATTGACGAAAGCAATTTGTCCGAATTTCATAGGCGTTCTCAGCTTGGCACCTCCCTCCTAATGCTAACTGCTGGCAATGACTACGCCCAGACGGACCTCAATCGAGAATTTTCGTCTAGGCCGGACTTCAAACAAAGGGACAAAATCAAATTTAAGTAGTGTAATCTTTGCATTTGGTCAATAGCAAATCAAGGAGAATACCGTCGTTTGTAGCTCTTGGTGAGAATAATTCACTGATAAATTTGCAGGCCCTAACAAAACCAACAGAAATGAACAGGGTAAAGATAGCTCCGGGTGACAACATTCCAAATAATAACCGCCCAACTTGCTCCCCCACTGATTTTTTACCTTATGCAGAATTACTGTCACTTCCATCTAACCAATAAAAATCACTTAGGGGTGGTTGGGCCAGGGTTAGTTAAACTAGGGCAGACGACTTACCAGCGTAGTCATTGGACCGTCCCCCCGCTATTGGCGGAATACATGTTTCATCTGTCAGCTTTGTGAGTTTTGCTCTGAGGCACTTGACGAATTGGTAGGATACAACGGGAGCACGCTTGGATCTGTTTTAGTCTCCTCACATAAGAGACAAATGCGTTTGTGCTTAACTAACACCTCTCTGAAAACCGTGTTTCGTTGGGGGTGGAATGTCAGGCGTCTCGTTTCTGGCCTAGCTTACGAGGTCATAAGTGTTTACGCAGGAGCTAGGTCATGAAACAAGGAAAGAGTTGTAAATTAATTAAGAAGTATGGCGAATAAGAATTTTCAGGGGAAATCTTTGAGGTGTTAGAGCCCGTTCCATGTGAATAAGGTCTATACCTGAATGGGATATGAGGGTACACTTGTGGGCTCCATAGTGAGCCATTAGGGCAGGTAAACATGTTTGGCGTTGACTATTCCCAAGTCTCTCTCCCTCGCTCATATTTAGCGAAGTCATATATTTAAGTTGAAAATGCAGCTCTGGACTCGGCAGACTCCCAGCTTATAACAATTCGCATGTTTACTTTTGATTCGACATCAAATCTTTTCCTCTCCCTTAATAGTAAAACCCTTTTCACTTAGAATAGTATTTTTCATTTTCACACACCTCAACCCCTGATCTGGAGACTGGTAGATGCCTGAATCCTTCTTCTCATTTTTCATTATTCACCAGTTATTTTTCTGCCCAGTTTTGAAAAAATGTGTTGATTTTAAAATGTGAAATCCGAATGCTCTATGTTGCTGCTGCTGCTGCTGCTGCTGCTGCTGCTGCTGCTGCTGCTGATGATGATGATGATGACGACGACGACGATGATGATGATGATGATGATGATGATGATGATGATGATGATGATGATGATGATGATGATGATGATGATGATGATGATGATGATGATGATTCTTATGTTGCTTTAGTTGGTATGATAATACAACGACATTTCACAACGGTCGAGCAGTTCACTGATTGACTTGTGGATGAGGTTGTTGCTGCGAAGCCTTTACGTCACACGCGCCGCGGCCTACGACATATCTCTCGCCGTACATCAGTCTATTAGCGCTCCATATTGCTACTTCGGTCACGATACCTTGAGTTTAAGGCGACAGAAATACAAAAACTGGGATTTGAACTGCCCCGTAACAGGTGACCGGGTGGGTCTGTTGCTTTTTCACATGTTTAAGTCGGTCTGCTTCATGACCCCAAGATATGAAGCAAAACGCGTCGGAGCATTCACTGGGTCAGTAAACTACATACTTTTGGGCATATGGTTTTGCGGCAATGCAGTTATTATTTGACACCTCTTTTAGGACTAAATACTGTCAAGCGTCTAGGATCACAGAAACATAAAATCCTTTTTCTGGGCTACTACTTACAAACTGAATATCAGAGGGCTTTCTTGTCTTCTTTACATCAACTGAGCTTGAATATGCTCAGCGGGGGGATAAGACCCGCATCCTCACTTGCATCAGTTTTTTACGTTTTAAGACATGCTGAGAGATCTAGACCAACCTATAGTGAATTTCGACGTATAACACGAATAGGATCGTCAAATACTTCTTTTTAAGGCATGATGTCAGTCAATATTCTTAATTCTGCCGATAGAAGCAAACAGAGGAGTTCTGGAACTGCGGTTGGTAGTTGGAATTACTTATTAGAGTTAGTACTTGCGGTCAGAAGTTGAGATTAGTGGTTATGGTTATCAGTAACGGATAATAGTTCAGAGTATTTGTTACAGTTACCTGTTGCTGTTAGACCTCAGGTTTGGTAGGCAGGGTTGGCCGTAGGGTTAATTATTAGGCGTCATTAGATACGGTAGATATTTTCATACAAGACTTGCGTTTGGTTGCTAGGTTTAACAACAACGGTAAGCAGTTCGGCGTTAGTTGTTAGGATTACTCGTTCTGACTACTTTTACTTTCAGCAATTGAGGTCGGTTTGTTCATTTTGGCAGTTGTAAGTAGTGTCCGGGTTTGTGAGCCTATCTAGGACATACATTCCCGAAAACCATGACTCAACCAGCCAGAGCCTTCATTACCCTTATCTGCGACTGCATGTAATGTTGGGTTCGAGTGAGAATTTGAGGTATCAGACCAATAGACTTCGTGTTCCAGTGCTCGCATCTTATTTTTCTGAATCCTACTATTCTAACACCTAAATTGGGCCTCTTCAGAAGCCTAGGGATAGTCTTAGAATTTGCCTTATTATTAAAAAATATTGCACTAATTAAGTGGAAAAAAATAAGGATGATCTTGAAACCGTTGAGGGTATTTTTTGTGCATGTAAAGACTGAGGGACTATTTGTTTCCAAAGATATTTTACATTTTTGTCGTTAGTATATAGACATCCGCGTGCACAAATTCCTTTTTGTTCCCTTTTCGGAAAATCTGAACGTCAGGCTTCCATAAAGTTTTGTGGATTTCCCTTTATCCCATTACAGGTAGTAAAGTTTGCAAACTTTTCTGGACAGTAGCAAATAACTTTTCATTTGCTTTGAATGGTATACGTTATAGCGTCTCCTTTGCAGGCCACATCCGTAGTTGTAGGAATAAGTAGGAGTCACCAGAATGAGAGGTTTACTGTATACAGGACCCTCTTAGGCGAGACCGACCGCTGGTCAGGCCGGGGCATGTGCTGAATGTGAGAGCGAGAGAAGTGGTGGCAGCTGCCTTGGTAGGTTTGTGGGAACCAAGTCTAAGCGTTGTCCATTTGGTGCGTTTTGCGTTCGCCGAGGACACCACCACCGTCGACATCAGTGGTGAGGACCTGGTCTATACCTGCCCTCATTGCGACGGCACCTTCGCCTCACACATGGGCCTGGTCGGTCATTTGCGAATCCATCGCACAGAGACTGACGAACCTGTGCCAGGAGCACCGACCTACACCCGTTGCATCCACCTCCACTGTCCACACTGTCCTCGCACATTCACTTACCGCATGGGCCTATTCGACTACATGCGTATCCAAGAGAGCGGAATTGATCGCAGCCCCGACACGCCTAACACGTCCAGCACATTCACTATGCCTAGTCCCGCCCACACTCCGCCGCCCTGCGCGCCCACCGCCATCAGCTCCATCATTGCCGGTGCATCTTCCATACCCACAACGCTCAGCCCTACTCACACCCCGTCACCCAGCGCACCCACCACCACCACCATCACCGTAGCTATGCTGACAACACCGACCTCTTATGTCCGCACTGTCCTCGTACATCCATCTAACGCATCGGCCTGGTCGGCCACTTGCGAATCCACTGCACGCAGGCTGGCGAAACAGTGTCTAGAGCACTAACCTACACCCGACGCATCCGCCTCAACTGTCCGTATTGCCCTCGCACATCCGCCCACCGCATAGACCTATTCGGCCCCATGCGCGTCCACGAAAACCCACCGTAGACAACCGCCGGCTGCACCACACCATCACATCCTCCCTCACCAACATCTCACCGCACATAAACATCACCCACCACAAGCACCCATATGCCACTTCCTGCGCAAATGGGAAGTGTGAGTCCCGGCTTCTTCTCCATGCGGCTCCTATGCTGCATGTGTGACTCGAGGTTGACACTATCGCGGGGCATCAAACGCCGTGACTTGGAAGGCTGCCGACTGACGCCCCAACTCAGTCCACGCAGTCTGCACAGTTACGTGTTTCTTTGTGTGGAGTGGCGTACTGGTGGGCTGATCCGAGCTGAAACAGCTCCTTCGACGGCATTCTCACGCATGTGAGCGGTACGCCGCTCAACCCCCGCTGCGTAAAATCCTGGCGCTTGCGTTCGGGGGGTCAGGTCGTGCATGCGGCGCGCGCAGAAAAGGTCGCTAAACTATGCCCGCCAGCGCTCCCATTCGCCGCATCAGTCATCTGACCGGCTCGGACAATGACCGGGGCCTGGGAATGGGAAGAGATAGCGAGGTCGATGATTCGGCGCGCTTTCATCACTATAAGCAATCTGACGCGCTTGAACCTATTACGGTGCGCTAAAAGCCGTGGCTCAGAAGATTGCCAACTGACAGGATAGCTTGGACCTCGTAGTCGGTCCAGTGTTCTGTGTTTGTGTAGAGTGGCCGGCTGGTGGTCTAAGAGTCAGGCTGCAATGGTCCCTTCTTAATGCGGCCTTTATGGCACTCCCCCTCGCGGGATCCGAAACGGGTGCGACGGCACGCCTAGATGCGGCTTCGGCCGTGTTGTTGTTGGTTAACAAACCTGGTTATTTGTTGTGTGATCCTGGAGGGTGTGGAGTGGAACGCCAAGATGCGGGCTTGAACGTGCCACCCACCTTCGCCCTTCCACGCCTCCGGTCTTCTTGACCCTGTCTTGACACCGGATCCAGGTGGGATGGAGGAGTGAGTGCGGCAGATGTTGCGCAAGTCTTCATTCACTCTAAACTAATTCATATGCAGGTCGCCGTGTCCGCTCCACCATGCCGTGGAACACACGTTGGACATCGTCGGCAGCGATGGTCGAACTGTCATGAAAGGAGATCTGACAAGAACAAGGGAGAGGGGGATGGCCATTTCTGGCTTATCAGCCGTCGTCATCCGGCCTTGTCAAGCCCCAACTTGGAGCACTTGGGGTTCAGACCGGGGATCTTTCGTAATTTGGGATTATTGCATCCAACGCTCTAACTATTGAGTCAATGGCTCCGTGCCTGTCCTCTACTAATGGGAATGCTTTTGGTGACTATTTAGAAATTTCCAACCCACAGCACCAAAGAACGTCTACTACATGGCCCGGTAGTTCCCACATTTCAAGCCCTCTGGTACCCGCATACTGATTCTTCAACTTGCTGCAAACATGCAACACTCGTCGAAAAACTCCGATTCTTAGCCTTGGGTATTATTGGTCCTAACCTCACGTTTGAATCTCCCCTGACGCGATATGGCCAACTAAAACAGGCTTTTTGGTTGTTGTGCGTCGAAACCCTTTACAATCTCTGAGTTTTTTACGGTTTATAAGGTGTTCCCAGAAAGTATGCATTACTGAGTTATCTATTAAGTATTCTGTCAGATTTTAGGGCGTAGATAACAACGGAGGACTCGTTTCTTATGGTGAACTGTTGCGGTTTAAGGGTTAACATCCACATTGCTGAATTAAACGCCCGTATTATCATGTTATTTTACCGTATCCAGGACCTGTCACCACTAATGATTTTCCTGGTTCAAACCTCCCTGTTAACCTTTTATAATCACTGAGCTAGCAGTGCGGAAACCTGAGTGCAAATTAACTTCCATCACAAAATCGGTACATGTATATAGTGATTGTATACCTGCGCCGCATCCATCGCACTCCCCTTCCCCCCTCCCCCCCCCCCCACCTGAGCCCGGTGTCGTGACCAAGTCAAGAAGACAGGGGGGTGAGAGAGGGCGCAGGTGAATGGCGTGGCCAGAGCCGCCCCTGGGCGTGCCGCCACACCCACCTCGAATCCCATGGAGCGGGAGTGCCATAGAGGCCACAATAAGGAGCCTGACCGTAACCCCTCCTTCTCCCCCCCCCCAGCCCTAACCCTGGTATTAACTCTCACAATCCTGACCATGACCCTAAACCCCCTGAAATTTAGGGCAGGACCACCTGTAATACAGTGGATTCATGTTCCTGTGCTAAACCACAATCGCTGACGAATGCAGTCCCGAAAATATGAGTTGGGTGTGCGAAATTTGGCGGTAGATTACCAGTCACTTTCCGGAGCTCCGTCCTCTGCCTAGCCTTGGATCCGCTTTTGGCTTTGTGATCATTCATGGGCGTGTGAAAAGGGTGTCCCCTCCCCCTAAACATAATGGTTCTCTCAATTTCCCTCGGCTTCATTATTCCAGACCGGAAGTGAAAATAAAACACGTAACGCTCTTTTCTCCCCACGACAAGATCCATGGGCTAGTTTCAGAACATGCTGCCGTCCGCCAGCTTGTGACACGTAAATCTGCTAAACCAAGGCAGCCAAGGGATGGCTTTGAGCTCTGCCCGACAAACGTGGCTGGACAAGAACCTGCATAGTACTAAAATTCTTCGTCTTCTTTATTCGCAGTCAATTCAACTAAATTCGTTTGAATATCCAGGTGACAGAAGACGAAATGAGAATTGGCTTTTAAATGCGGAAAGTTAAAGGTGGCAACAAATATATGCGGTGACAAACCGAAAATGGTCTTTTTGATAAATTGGCGCAGATGACAAATTATACAACAACTCATGCCTTCGTTACTTTGCATTAGTATTCGCTGAGAAAACAATGTCCATGGACGATCAATTCAAAACCAATATCAGAGAATGAGAAGCGAGACTCTGCACACCGTTATTGTACATCGCTCACTTCATGAGTTAAGAGCTGGCCCAGTGAGTAAGGGGTTAGAGGTTTCTTGGAGCTTCCAACCTCCTGAAGCTCATTTGCGGGTGTTTTTTCGTGTTGTAGGTGATCTCATAAGTCTCCGACTCCATGGGACACACCTCGGACCGCCCAGGCTCCACCATCACCTGTATCTTGTAGAGATCGTCATTCAGGAATTGGTGTGTCCCACTGATTGGCGTGACGATTGCCTCCATGTAGCAAGCGCCATTTTTGCCAGCGAGTTCTTTGGCAAAAGTATTAACTATGCCCGCTGGAATGCCTTCCTCGAGTTCTTTGTGGTGCAGTATCTGGGGCCGACTCAGTTGTTCCGGGGAAGAGGTTACGAGAACCCAAAACGCAGATAAAGCCACTAGCAGCTTCGGCGACAACGCGTGCATCGCGGATTTCGCAATAGTGTTTGTGAAACGCGCGCCGGACTGTGATGACCTTGAGTCGGCGCATATTCTACGCACCTAGCGTAACCAATCAGCTTACAGCTGCAGAGGGCGTGCGGCTAGTCACGCCCTGGTTACGAAAACTCCCCATGTGGGAAAAAATAACAGAAACTTGAAACAACTTAGCATTAGACGTGCGCGGCCCCGTCCACCAATGAAATTACAGCACATGAGCTTACTTAACTAGCGGCCGGTCACGCCCACATTCGAAGCAAAACCCCTGAAACAATGTTGGTCGCGCGGGGTGGCGAGCCATTGCAGTATGACGTGGCAGTTGTGGCCTATTGTTCGCCACAAATTTAACCCAAGTAATCTAAGGTCACCTGATCTCCTAGGGGCGAGGTTTGGTCCTGCAGCCCCACTTGATTGATTCCATATGGTTGGTTTCCTAAAACAATTTTAGTAGGTGCGAGTACGCTGACTTTACGCATATCACGTGTTTGCGTCTTTCTTACTACTTTAATCCAGTGAGTATCTGTGCCTCGGGGGGAGTGCTTATACGCCATCCTCTGTCACATCAGGTATCAGTTCGCACGCGCTTCCCTGTGCGTGCTTTGAACCCTGCTTGCGCCCTCTTTACTATCTTAATCCATCGAGAGGCTAAGTCGACTTGGTAATGTCATTGTGGGACTCCGTGGGTTCCACCAAAGGGACCATGTACTGCGATTTGGCACGCAGTTCCCTCCGTGGCCTTCCAGTTGTGATTGTACTCTTCTTATCCTCTTAATCCAGCGAGTGGTTGTGTCGCGGGGAGAGTGTGCACACGTCACCTTCGGTTACACCAAGCATCGGTTCACACGCGCTTCCCTGCGTGTGCTTCGAGGCCTGTTTGCGCTCTCTTTCCCTTCCTAATCCGGCGAGTGTCTAAAATTGGTATGTTAACTAAGATTGCCTTAGGAGACTAACCACATGGTATCAATCAAATGGGGCTGCAGGACCAACCCCCCCCCCCCTGAGCTCCGAACAATAAATGGTCAGGGAAATCGGAACCATAAATGTCAACTTATTCATAGATGTTTTGGCAGATTTCGAATAATTTGTCGAAAGTTGTGTGGTCGACAAGATAAAGATTCCCAATCAAAAGTCAGAGAAGACGGTTTGAGTTGAACAACCTTTACTGCCTGAGGAAGTGCGTACACAAGGGCTCTGTAGGCAGTCGCCGCAAGTGCGCTCCAAGCAAGCTGTTGTCTGTGTTCGCTTTCGAGGTGTTGTCAGCGCGTGTGTGCGCCCTTCGTTGTCTCTACCTCGCCAGCCAATCGGAGTGGGGACAGCGTTGATTGGCTTCGAGCACTCGCGCGTCCCAGCAGCGTATCGACACGGAGTGTTAGGCGGACAGGACGGCAGCGTGACAAAGGCGGAGGGCAACGAGACGCGAACTGCCACAAATTCATATTGACCCAACTGTGAAAAACTCGGCGCCTCGGTGGGATTCGAACCCATGCAGTAAGGGGAAGGTTTTAGTATAGCCAACGCTCTACCCACTTGAGATACGAGGACCCGCCGGACGACTCGAGTTTAATCACATTTCGGTCAAGTTACCCACCGAATCCAACCAAATCTGATACAGTAAGTTGACTGCCCAAGCAGGATTTCCTGAGTGATTTACCTAGAATCCACCAGCTGACTACCAGGTTCTCGTAATTCATAGATGCTTTGGCAGATTTTGAATCCCATCGGGGCGCCGAGTTTTTCGCAGTTGGGTCAATATGAATGTCAGCTTAGAAGAAGGAGCGGTCGGATTTTATTTCGTGGCCGTGCCTGCAGTAGACAAGCCCCAGTCTAACCCCTAACATTAACCTCTACCCCTAACCCTAATCCCTATCCCTGACCCCTTACTCCTAACAGGTACGCCTACGAAATAGGATCTTGATTGATTCCATATGGTTGGTTTCCTAAAACAATTTTAGTAGGTGCGAGTACGCTGACTTTACGCATATCACGTGTTTGCGTCTTTCTTACTACTTTAATCCAGTGAGTATCTGTGCCTCGGGGGGAGTGCTTATACGCCATCCTCTGTCACATCAGGTATCAGTTCGCACGCGCTTCCCTGCGCTTGCTTTGAGCCCTGCTTTCGCCCCCCCCCCCCTTTATTATCTCAATCCAGTGAGTGGCTAAGTTGGTATGCTAATGTCATTGTTCGGACGGTGTGGAACTCCGCCGGTTCAACTGTGGTGACCACGCTCTGTGAATGAGCACGCGGTTTCCCCGTGTGCTTCCAGTTGTGATTGCGCCCTCCTTATCCGCTTAACCCAGCGAGTGGCTGTGTCGCGGGAGTGTGTACACGTCACCCACGGTTACACCAGAGTTTGTTTTGAGTTCTTAAGTCGTTTGCTCGTGTTGTATATCTTTTCGATATCAAATTTGTAAATAAACAGGGCGAAAGGGTACTTATGGAGAAGGTGCAGAAAAAAACACACAGTAAGAGTGAGTGGACGGGCAAAAGCGAAGGTTGACGATGAATGAACAACAGGTGAGGGAAAAAGATGAAGATACTGCGCAGAAAAGGAAGTGTGGGGGGACGAAACATGTCTAGCGACAGTTATGACCTCAGAAGCCACCGGGAAGGAAGATGATAGTGGCCGTATAGAGATGAGGAAAAATAAGAAGTTAAAAAAGTAAGGAAAGGATGAAGAAGATGGAATGAGAAGGAAAATGAAGAAGCGGCTATCGATGAGGGTGCTAAACTAACAAACACTGGACCGATGAAGAACAAGACAAGGAAAACAAGTGAAGAAGGTAAAAAAATAATATCCATTTCGATGTTGCTGCTTGCATATCAGTTACAGGCCAAAAACGAGCTCATGCTCAAATGACTCGGTTGGGCACGGGAATATGAGTCCCCGTAGCACACAGCTGACCTTGCCCCGAGGTCGAGGGGGGGGAGGGGCTAGAGTTCGGATACGGTAGTAGGAACCCTCTGAAAATTAGGCAAGGTCACCTATGGTGGTGAGGGGGTCTATATGCCCGTGTCTGGTCCATGATCTCTCCTGATAGCAGTGGTTTATTGCGTTGATCCTCAAGAATTAACAGATATTTGTTGTAAAATACAGAATTCAGTCGAGGCTGCGTTAGTTCAGCCTCTAATCAGTGCGCCCCTTTGCGGTCTTAATGCCAACTTCTGTTATCGCCTTAGCAGACAACTATTCCAACCAAAAGAACGTTTGCGCTTAGGCAATGAAATTGTTCTTGACAGTTGTCGGGTTCAGGTTGCAGTCGGAGCCAAAAAATCTACTGCTGGCGACGAGGACTTTTCGATGGCTAATAGCGACGATCGCGTCATAGTCGTAAATGTCATCAACAAATGGCGCTTTTGAGGTCTTGCACCCTAACCCCCCCCTCTCCTTTGATCCACCTTATCGTTATCGGTAATTAAATTAGCCAAAATTAAATTTTTTTAGCTTGTTTAGAGCCCCCGAGTGAATCATGCCTATGCCGCCACCTGCGAATCAGATATCAATGAATTACGCGAGCCTGGTAGTCATCTGGTGGATTCTAGGTGAATTACTCAGGAAAACCTGCTTGAGCAGTCAACTTACTGTATCAGATTTGGTTAGATTCCAGACGTTGCAGTAGGTTGTGCGGGTAACTTGATTCAAATGTGATTAAACTCGCGTCGTCCGGCGGGGCCTCGTAGCTCAATTGGTTAGAGCGTTGACTGCGCTAAAGCCTTACCCTTACTGCGTGGGTTCGAATCCCACCGAGGCGCCGAGTTTTTCACAGTTGGGTCAATATTAATGATTCAAAATCTGCCAAAATATCAATGAATGGGATATTGTAAAAGTGAAATGGTCGTTTTCAAGTGGATGGTCTGTTTCTCTCGTCTACACACAAGATGCACCTAAGAACCCCAGCATCTGACAACGAAAAAAGTTAAACATTGCCTGCCCACTTTAGCTGAAAAACAGAAAGCACAAGCGGAAAATGGCGGTGCGGTCGTAAGTCGAAGGTGGGAATCCACAGAGCCCAGGCCGTCGGGGCGACGGGTTTAGAACATTGCAAGGCAGAAGCAACAAAGACGACAGCCAACACACTGATTTTTCATCCCTCACGCCCGTATGCTCGCAGCATACTTGGTTTTGCTCTGCTTCCTGACAAGAGCATAGAGAGTGTGCGGTCTTCTGATCGCCACTGATCGCTGAACACTCGGGGAAACTGACTACGTCTGAAAAGGGAGCACCATGCATCCGATCGCTCGAGTAGGCGATGAGGAAACGACAAGGTGGGCGCAGCCAAGATTTACGTCGTCGGATTTGTTTATAAAGAAGAAGATTTTCACGGAGCCGTCTGTTCTCTCTCTCCCTCCCTCTCCCCCGAAGAGAAGATAAAGCCGGGACCGCTAAAGGCGTGTGTGTGTGGCCTGTTCGGCCACCTGGTGTTGGGACTATGCGCATTGGCTGGCGTGGTCTGAAGCCTGCGCCTAGGCGTGCCACCAAAGCAGCGGTTGTGGAATGTGGGGATCGAGCGTTCCCTGAATGATGCCCGCCGTGCTCCAAACTGGCCTCCGTTTAGTCCAGCGCAGCCCCTTGTGGGATCCATAAATGTTCAAATATTACACCTCATCCTCATACCGGCGTGGATAAATTTCATAGAGCGATCGCTGCATGTGCGATTTATGAAGTCTTGATGACAGATAACATGGACACGCACGCTGAAGAATACGTCATGCATAGATAAAGCGTGCTTCTGCGTGTGTGTGGGTGGGTGGGTGAAGACAAACGCGGACCTAGACCTCCCGCCATCTCTCCAGGAAACCATCAGGGCCGTGCAGCAGCTCTCCAGCGGGAAAGCACCCAGATCGGACGCGATCCCTGCTGAGGTCTACAAGCATGGAGGTCACCAACTGATGGATCACCTGACTGCGCTCTTCCAAGAGATGTGGCGTCAAGGTGAAGTCCCGCAAGATTTCAAAGACGCAACAATCGTGCACCTATACAAGCGAAAAGGGAATCGTCAAGTCTGCGACAATCACCGCGGCATCTCCCTGCTGAACATCGCCGGGAAGATCTTCGCTCGCATCCTTCTCAACAGCCTCAATAACCATCTGGAACAGGGCCTTCTGCCGGAAAGCCAATGCGGCTTCCGTCGTCATCGTGGGACCACGGATATGATCTTCGCCGCCCTCCAACTACAGGAGAAGTGTCAGGAGATGCGGAACCACCTGTACTCTACCTTCGTGGACCTGAGGAAAGCCTTCGACACGGTGAATCGTGAAGGTCTGTGGAAGATCATGCAGAAATTCGGCTGTCCAGAGCGATTCACTCAGATGGTGTGTCAGCTGCACGACGGTATGATGGCGCGAGCCAAGGACAACGGAGCTGTCTCAGAGGCATTCACAGTGACCAATGGAGTGAAGCAGAGCTGCGTACTGGCGCCTACTCTCTTCAGTCTTATGTTCTCTGCCATGCTGATGGACGCCTACCGCGACGAACGCCCCGGGATCCGCATCGCCTACAGGACGGACAGACACCTTCTAAATCAACGGCGGATGCACTTCCAATCGCGCGTCTCCACAACCACCGTTCACGAACTCCTCTTCGCCGACGACTGCGCCCTGAACGCCACCTCAGAAGAGGAGATGCAACGGAGCATGGACCTGTTCTCCGCCGCCTGCGAGAACTTCGGTCTGGTCATTAACACGCAGAAGACGGTGGTGATGCACCAACCGCCACCCAACTCAGCCACAGCCCCCTACGCGCCGCCGCAAATCAGCGTGAGCGGAACCCAACTGCAGGTGGTGGAGAACTTCCCGTACTTGGGCTGTACTCTCTCCCGCAACACCAAGATCGACTACGAAGTCGCCAACAGGATCTCGAAAGCCAGTCAAGCCTTCGGTCGCCTCCAAAGCACAGGTTGGAATCGTCATGGTCTGTAACTAAGCACAACGCTGGAGATGTACAAGGCAGTCATCCTGCCGACGCTGCTGTATGGAGCGGAGACTTGGACGGTGTACACAAAGCCGGCACGTCGACTGAACCACTTTCACCTCAGTTGTCTCCGTCGCATCCTCAAGCTGAACTGGCAGGATCGAATCCCCCACACTGATGTGCTGGAACGGACGGGAATCCTCAGCATCTACGCCATACTGAGACAAATGCAGCTGCGCTGGAGCGGCCACCTGGTGCACATGGACGACGAGCGACTACCCAAACGACTCTTCTACGGAGACGTCGCGACGGGTTCTCGCCGTCAAGGAGGCCGAATTCGTCGATACAAGGATACTCTGAAGTTCTCACTGAAGCGTCTGCAAATCAACCCGACGAACTGGGAAGAGCTCGCCCGCGATCGTCGGATATGGAGTAGAACAGTGAAGACAAGCGCTTCTATCCACGAATCCAACCGCATTGCCGCCGCCAAAGCGAAACGCGAAGCCTGCAAATCCCAACTTCGCCCAGTCCGCAACGCCGTCGCACAACCGCTTCCAACGTGTTCTCGATGTCAACAGACATTCCGGGCTCGAATCGGCCTCGATGAACATCTTCGGATCAACTGTACCTCTCGAACTGCGCCAACCATCGTCCCCCCGCCCCCCTCTTCCTCGTCCTCTCTGCCGCCCACTAGCTCTGACAATTCTTCTGTACCACCCCTTCCATCCTCCTCCTCCTCCTCCTCCTCCTCCTCCACTGCCCCAACGGCGGCCGCTCAGGCGGCCGCTCAGGCGGCCGTCTCGCACATCAATCCCGACACAACAACCGACACCAACCCCGACTCTCCTGACTCCAGCAATGAGGATCAGGACTACACCTGCCCTCACTGCGATTGCACCTTCACCTCACGCATCGGGCTGGTCGGTCACTTGCGAATCCATCGCACAGAGGCTGGTGAAACAGTGCCTGAAGCACCAACCTATACCCACCAAGCTCGTCTTAACTGCCCACACTGCCGAGACTATCCCGACACGTCAAGCGTCGTGGATAGGAAGGTTGCTGATTGACGCCCGCTCTCGGCTCACGCAGTTCGTCGCGTTGTGTTTGTGTGCTGTGTGGAGTGGCGGACTGGTGGGCTGGGGGCAGGCTGAAGCAGCACCTTCCACGGTCCTCTCACGCAAGTGAGAGACACGCCGTTCAACCCCGTTGTGGGAAATCCTGGTGTTTGTGTGTGTATGGGGGGCCAGGTCGTGCTGTGGCTCACGCAGGCATGGTCAGTCAACCGTGTCAGCCACCGCGCCCATTTCCCACTCCAGTCTGCCGACCGCCTCGGACAGCGGCTGGGGTGTGGGAATGGGAAGCGAGAGTGAGGTCGACGACTCAGCGCACTTTCCTTACTATAAACAATCTGACGCGTTTGAAGCTATCACGATGCGCCAAAAGCCGTGGCTTGGAAGGTTGCCGACTGACGGGGTAACTTGGACCTTCTCCTTGACTGGAGGTGGTCTGAGAATCAGGCTGCAATGGCTCCTTTTTAATGTGGCCTTTATGGCACTCCCACCACAGTGTGGGATCCGAGCCAGTCATTGGCGGCATGCCCAGGTGCGTCTTCGGCCCTGCCAGCCTCCAAATCTCCGTTGTGTTGTGTTGGTTAAAATCCTGGTTATTTGTTGTGTGGACCAGGGGTGTGTTGGAACGCCAAGGTGAGGATCCGTCCGAGCCATCCACCTGCGGCCTCCCTCGTCTCCGGTCTTCTTGACTCTGTCTTGACACCGGGTCCAGGCGGGGGAGGAGGAGAGAGTGTAGGTAGATGCTACGCAAGTCTACCGGCACTATAAACCCCTGCGCAAGTCACCGTCCCTGCTCCCACCGCTGCTGCAGCTGTGGGACCCACGGCGGACATCATCGAAATCGATGGTCGAACTGTCGTCGTCGGGAGGTTGAAGAGGTTAACCGTCCGTAAGCGTGTGCTGCGCTAGTATCAGCAAACAATGACCCCCGCAGCCTCGTATGCGCTTGCAGTTCCCTGACACCTGGTTCCCTGTCGGTAGATGAGTTGCTCTCCCACAGTGTATACAGGTGGTGGGCATCGCTGCCCAGTCATCCTCATCGCTTAGGCCCCTGTTGGAGTGCTGTTGTTGTTATTGTTGTTGGCGAAAAAAAATCCTGGTCATTTGCTGCGTGGACCAGGGGGTGTGGTGGCATGCCTAGGTGCGGCTCCGGCCGTACCGGCAGGCAACGCATCCCTGAACAGGGCTGCCCGGTTATCCCAGACGGCTGCCGGACTCCACTATGGACCACGACTTTTTGTTAGTGAGAGAACGACCCGAATTAACCTAGGACCTTGCTGATGACGGTGATGTGATGGAGTGAAGTAGGAGAGAGCATACACACAACCTAACGCTATGGGACTTGGAACTAGAGTGGACAAGCGGACACAGTCATCAGTCAGAGACAAAAGTGAGGGCACCACTCAGAGTCAAGCACCGTAACACCTAGCTATTAGCAGACACACGCACCCTAATGCTAACCCGAAACGTAATCAAAACTTAAGACCTACACTTAAACCTAAACGTACACTTAATATTAACACTAATCATAACCTTAACACTCCATAATATGAACACTAATCATAACCCTAACACTCACTAACTCCAAATTTAAAATTAACCCTATAGTTAATCCTAACCCTACCCCTTAACCCTAGACTCAACCTAAATTTAACCGTAACCCTAACCTTCACTTTGACCCTAAATTTAAACCTAACGCTAAATATAAACTTAAGCCTAATACTTATCCTAACATTAAGCCTAACCTTAGCCCTAACCTAAAACCTAAACCTTACGCTACCCCAATCAATAAACTTAACCCTAGCGTTAATCCCAGCGCTCTAACTCAAAACCTCACCGTAACCCTAACACAAGCATAAACCCTAAACTTAACCTTAACCCTAACTTTATCCCAAACCCTAACCCTAGCGTTAACCCTTACAATAACCTTAAGCTTAAACCTAAACTTAACCCTTAACTTCACACTTAACTTAAACCTAACCGTAAAGTTAACGCTAAACCTAAACCCTAATAGTAACCCTTGTGTTAACCCTAGCCCTAACCTTAAAATTAACCATAACTTTAACTATAAACATACACCGAAACCTAGACATAACCCTAAAATAAAACCTAAGCATATGCCTAAACTTAAACTTAACCCTAACGTTAACACTAACCCTAACCTTAACTCTAACCTAAACCCCGAACTTAACCTTACAAGTAGCCATAACTTTAACCCTAATCCAAACCTTCAGCCTAAAACTATCCTAAATCTAACCCCAATCGTAACCGTAACCCATGCACTAAACTACACCCTAAGCATAAACGTGACCCTAACTTTAACCCTAACCCAAAAACTCACCCTGGCGTTAAGCCTAACCCTAAGCTTAAGCGTAACCGTAAACTTAACCCTAACCCCAGCATACACAATAAGCTAAATCATGACTCTAATCTAGATCCTAGCCGTAAACTTAAATCTAAACTTAAACATAAACTTAACCCTAACCTTAACCATAAACTTAAGCATAACCCTAATGTTAACAATAAACATAACCCTAACCTAAAACCTAAACTTAAAATTAACCCTAAACTAATCCTAACGTTAACATTAACCCTACCGCCAACCTTAACCATAACCCTAAAACTAAAGTTAACCCTAGACGTAAACCTTAACATAACCCTAACAATAAACCAAACACTAAACTTAACTCTAAATATAAATTTAACCCTAAACTGGAACCTAACCACAGGATTAACCTCAACCCTAAACTTAGACCTAACCCCACCACTAACCGTAAATTTAAACTTAAACCAAACGTTAACCCTAACTTTAATCTTAACCCTAAGTTTAACCCCAACCTGCACACTAAGCTAAACCGTGACCCTAATCTTAATCCTAACCCTTACACCAATCGTAACCCTAACACCAACCCTAACCTAAACCCTAAACATAACCGTAAACTTAACTTAACCCTATCGTTAACCCGAACCCTAACAATAATCGTAAGCCTAATCTTTATCATAACGCCAACCCTAAGATTAAATCTAATCTTATTCCCAAATACCTACTTAACCCTAACACTAACCCCAACCTCAACGCTAAGCCTAACCTTAATCCCAACCCTAATCCTAAACTTAGACCAAATCTTAACCCTAACCCCAACCTCAAACTTAAGCTCAATCTCAACCCTAAACGTAAACTTGACCCTAACCTTTACCCTAAACGTACGCCAAAATTTAACCGTAACGCTAACCTTGACCCTAAACATAACGCTAAACCTAACCTTAAGCCTGATCCTTACCCTTAGCTTAAGCCTTAACTTCACCCTAAACCTAACCTTAAAGCTAACCCTAACCTTCACCCTAGCGTTAACCCCAAAACTAACCGTAACCCTAACCCTAACATAAACCCTAAACTTAAACTTAACCCTAACTTTATCCCTAACCATAACTCCAGCGTTAACCATAAACTTAAACTTAAACCTATCCTTAACCATAAACTTAAACCTAAGCCTAATGTTAACTCTAAAAATAACCCTAATCTAAACTCTGAACTTGACCCTAACCTTAAACCTAACACTAACGTTAACACTATCCCACCCCTAATTTTAACCCCAACTCCAACCCTAGCCCTAACAATAATCGTAACCCTAAGCCTAACCAAAACCCTAAACATATCTCTAAACTTAAGCCTAACCCTAAGTTTAACCCTAATCCTAACTTGAACACTAAACCCTCAGCCTCACCCTAAACCCAACCTACTCTCTAAGCTTAACCGTGACCATAACCTTAACCCTAGACATAATCCGAAACCCAACCCTTAACCTTAATCCTAACCTCAGCCCAAAACATAACCATAACCCTAAGGTTAACCATAATCTTAACCCCAATAGTAACCCTAAAAGTAATCCTTATCCTCAAACCAACCCTAAAATTAGACCTAACCTTATCATTAAACACAACCTTTAACATAACCGTTACCCCATCCTCAACGCTAAGCTTAACCTGAAACCCTAAACTTAACCTTAACCCTAACCCCAACCTCATCCCTTAGCTTGATCGTAACACTAAACTTAACCCTAGAACTAAACCTAACCGTAAGCCTAACCCAAAACTTAACATTAACCCTAAGCTTGACCCTAAACCCAACCCTAACCTTGATCCTAAACGTCACCTCAACCCTAACACGAAACCTAAACTCAACGCTAACCTTAACCCTAAACTTAACCGCTAACATTTAATCGTTAGCCCTAACCTTAACCCTAACCCGAACGCTAGCCTTAACCCTAACCTTAACCGTAAACCGTTGATAGATAGATAGATAATTTTTATTAAAGACCCGTCGGGGGATCGTTAACCCTTAACCCTAACCCTAACCCCTCACAAAACCATAACCCTAACCCCAAAGCCGAACACTAACCCTAAAGCCAAACCATAATCGTATACCTAAACCCTAACCCCAACACGGAAAGTAGACCCTAAAACGCAAATCCGAGTCATAAAACCTCACCTACGCTTAACCTTAACCCTTACTAAACCCAACAGCCTGACCGAAACGGGCGACCTACCTAATGCAGTAGAAGCACACCTACTGATAACCAGTTCCCTAGGCCAGGGAAACACACCTACAGATAAGAAGTTAGTACGTCGACAGAATCAAGGTATAAGGCCTGGCTACCAACTGCGATCTTACCAATTGTTGCTTATTTGACTCACCTGAAATTTTACTCATCTTAAGAATGGTGCCTGTAGTACGAATAGTCGATGGCCATAAACGTGCTTTGTTATGGCTGCCAATGATTGGTCCTTCAAGTAAAGGAAAGCAAAGTTGAGAGAGGCGCTCTTTCGACCATCGATTTCGATGATGCCCACCGTGTGCCCCACAGTTGCAGCAGCAATGGGAGCAGGGACGGTGACTTACGCAGGGGTTTATAGTGCCGGTAGACTTGCGTAGCATCTACCTACACTCTCTCCTCCTCCCTCGCCCGAGCCCGGTGTCAAGACAGAGTCAAGAAGAC